ATGTGTATCCATTCAAATCATATTTATTTAATTACACTGTAATGCAAATAAGTTAGGTCCATATAAACCCCATTTTGTTGTATGTACAACCTATGTCATTAGCAAGCTGATTGAGCCACCTGGTGTAAGTGTCCGCCTCATCCTCTGGAATGTACATATCTTCAGACACTTTCTCTGTCCATCAGCTGGTTCTAGAACAGGACCGCCACATCCTTCATCCCCAAAGTAGACTGAAAGGGGAGGGGGGAGGAAATGAAAGTCAGATTTGCAGCATGTAGTTGTTTTTAAATGCATATTTATAAAACACAAGTCTGGAGGAACAGCCCTGTAAATGTACAGAATAAATGCTAGCCCCCAACATACTGAAATAATGCCACCTTTAAAATAAAATTTAAGCCTATAGAACATGAACATGTGCTCAGAAAAAAGAGCACCTGTAAGCTTCAGATTAGACCAAACACATGCTTCTGGTATCTATGTACATACACTCTGGTGTGAAATACATACTTTACGTTGTGCAGAGACACACTCAGTGGACCAAGAAAAACGTCTCAAACTTCTAGTGAAGCTAAACATAGAAACACTGTCAGCAAACAAACAACTCCAGCAAGTTAGTTTTTAAGACACCAGAAGATTTTACTGAAATTGTAACATGATCTTGACACTTTTTTTCATATTTTCTACTGTTAAAAGTAGCTCCCTCGAATCGCTGAATCCTAAAAATGGGATTTCTACACATTCTAACTATGTGAAGCTAGAAGAGTTAATATATGACTTTGCAAACAATACATACAGTCCATCAATTATTCGTCTTAGGAATACCTGGTTCTGCACGGTAACCAAAGTTATTTCAAGAACAATAAGAGAGTCACACTTTCTTCAAAACTTTAGTTTAATTAGTTTGACCCATGGAAACCCTCCAATAAAACTCAAATGCCACAAGAATTCAAGTATTACTAATGCCATGACATTGCATGACATTAACAAACAGTCCCACAAGAAAGAGGCAACATGAGCAAATGCACTTTGCTTCATGACTATGACCAATATTGAAGGATAGAGCCCTTTACTTCATATAGCTTTTATGCAGTGTTACTACTGTATTTGCAAAGGCAGAAGGAAACAGGGTTTTGTTTCAAATTCATGCTAGAAAGCTGAGAAACTTGCAGAAACTGGCTCTACAACAGATTAGAAGGGCAGGTGCCACTCAAAAGGTACAGAAAGTCCCATATATTAAAAGCCATGAAAGATGAAGAGAAAGGCCCTCCTAAGAACTTGTATTTTGCTGTCTTCTCTTTTAGATTTTTAAAGAAACAAGAACCACAACCAGCTATGCTTTCACCCTAAACAATTAAAAACAAAGGATGAAAGCAACCGTCACAACTGTTGCTGTCCAGAGACAACACCCGAAACGGTAACTACCTGCAGTGGGTTTGCATGTGCATCTGGAACCAATACATACCTCCAGATAGTTGGCTCAGGCATTCCAGGATCTGCACCTCTCTTAAAACCTGAAGCGAAACATACATTACATATATATAAATAAAAACATGTATGTGCAGACTCCTACATAGTTAAATAACTATCAAATTATTCCAGCCCATTAAATTGCAATAAAAAAGAAAACCTACTGAGCAGAGAACTGTGATTCATGAAGTTGTGTACTAATCTGAAAAAAACTTGCACATTCTTGTCAGGGTTAGAAAGCAGATAAAATAAATACATGTGTACAGTTGTTGGTTTTTTTTTTTTAAATTCTTACCTGCATCTTTATCTGACTTAAGATTCAGGGACAACTAGCTATGTGAGATGGAGGAAGTTATCTACCCCAAAGATTAAGACATACATACCTACACACACATGCAAACATGCAGATTTTAAATGTTGTTCAGAAAGCAACCTAGTAAGGCGGTACACACAGTGACACCTATAACTGGTATAAGTGAGCACCTTGAGTCCTAACAGGCAATGTTCTGCAATGACATCTGATGCAGAACTTAAAAGTAATATTTCAATAACAGTTCACTCAATATAGGATGACAGAATTCTAAATGTTAAATCAATCAAACCCAAAACGTTCTATTTTTACTGGCACTTTTTGAAAAGCTACCTAGTTCAAAAGCTTGCAAAGAAACAAGATGTTTGTCAATCTACTAACACCCAGGAAAATGAAGAGAAAGTTAATTACAAAGAGCTCATCCCCAGCTAATGACTCAAATGCTAATTCACTAAAGCAAATGTATGCTAGAGAAGCAATTGAAGGTTCAGTGTATGAATATCTTTGCCTGCTGGATTGTAAATTAAAAGTCTTGAAGCGGAATCATGCAATTCATACACTGTTCAACACATTCTCTCCTACACTCGCTAGAAATGGATGTTATATGAAAAATATATCATTCCCCTCATTTACAGAAAATAAATAATTAATGTCAGCTTGCCTGAAACATAGGCCATGAAGGTTAATGCAAAAACTTCCATTAACTTCATGGGCACTGGGTTAGCTCTTTGAAAGTAACCTTGTGTGATTTGAGACTGTTAAACATCCTGACCCACTTTCTTTGGCTGCCACACTGTCCATCAAAATTGCTTTAAAATTTATGAAGTTGTATTAGGAGTCACACTCTATGTGAATGCTTCTGGCTTTCCCCCCCCCACCCCCTAGTACTTTCAAATAAGCAACCCAGGTTTAACAAAACTGCACTGGTCTAATTTACCTACTTAAAACAGAGGCATCTGCTTCAAAGCGAGTTTAAAAAAAACACAACAAAAAAAACCCCAGACCAATGGCCTATAATTGCAAATTCACATACCAGGGTCCTTTGTACATCCCCTGAGCATCCCATCCTAACCTAGAAAGCCTTTCAGAGAAAGTTAAAAGCTCAAATTTCTGAAAGTTTCCTTGTCCATTTTTAGTTTAAAGTGTATTTCATCTACACAGGCGTCAATGCAAAAATATACCTTGAATCAGTGACACCAAGGGCTGCGTAGCCTCTTGTCCTTCGACTGTATTACACCTTCCCTCCCAGATTCAAATGTAATCCCAGTACAAAAGAGGTTCTTCCAATTCTATAGACTTTGAGTGCATGCCACCTCCAAGTGTCTATGGCAAGGAAAGGTGGCACCTGCACATCCTCTTCCCATCTGCTTACACTTAATGTCCTTTCATTACAGCAGACAAATTTATAAGAAGACAATGTAGATGTGGAACAGCACACTTATTTTCTGGAGGTATGAAGTTAAACTACTACAACTTAGTATATCACTGCTACATAACAGAAATATACTAGGCACCCTGATATTAGTGCAACTGTAAACACAGTAAGATGGCTTTATATGACATGAAGCAACTTATTTAATTTCCTCTGGTATCCCTCAGAACTAATTGCATCTTTCCCATATTCATAGATACTGTTGTAAAAGGAAAATCAAAACCAAACTTCAGCAAGAACAAAATTAGGTCACAAAACCCTGCTGAAATTCCCACTCCCAAATTATCAACTTAAAATAACTGACAAACTAAAAATGGAAATGTAATTAAACTTTAAGTCTAATACTGCCAATTAGTTTTTTCCATACTGTTTTAAGTGTCATCTTTTACTTGTAGTTCTTAAAGCTTATATGTAACTGTTGAAGAGACCAACTTTTTCCTGATTGTTATCTATTATGTGAACAATCAAAGCCCTTCAAATCGGACACTGCATTCCCCTCAATTAATCGAAACAACCTATCAGCTTTGACTGTAAACACATCAAGCTCCCAACCCTCCTTCATGTTTGCATTCAAGGCGGAGGTGCCTGCCTGTTTTAGATGCCTTTCCCAAAAGGCTCCACAGAGCTGGGGCAGAGAATAAGCCAGATGAACTGCGGGGATCAGCCCTCCCGGGACCCCTTGTCACATAAGAAGTGAACAAAAGCGTCAGGCCCATTGCACACCCGCATATCTTAAGTAGGTCAGGCTCTTTAACAACGACAGCTGATGGCATACAGCCCAAGCTCAGCGGGAGAACGACCGTGTGGTAGCGATGCCCAGCCAGCCCCATGACAGGAGAAAGCAAAATGCATCCTGGGTGCCAGGCATGACATCAAGGCACCCCCCGAATGCCCCACAGCAGTTCGGAAACGGGAGCCACGCCATTTTGGGAGAGACTGTAGCCTGCACCTAGCTGCAAATTCAGCCTCAACCAGGGGCTGGCAACCCCCCTGGTGCCACGAAGCAGAGCTCCCGGCCGCAGGCAGCTCTCTCCTCACATCCTGACTCCCTACCGCAACAAACACCGAGGCTAGCCTACTAAAGCAGCCAGTCGCTGATGCACGGTTAAGTCGCAGCTCCGTGTGCTGTTAAGCTGCTGCGGCCCGCGCCCAGCCCGCTCCCCAGCGGGGCCCGACCCGCCGGCCTGCCGCCGCCCTCCCCTCACCGGGCACGCAGGCTCAAGGCGCGCTCCCAGCGCGGGAACAGCCTCCAGCAACGGAAAGGGGCTGGAAATCCTTTTTAAAGAAAAAAAAAAAAACACCAAAAAAACCCGAAACACAACAAACCTACTGTCTCGCCGTTCTCTCAAGGGCAAGCCCCCCGCCCCCACCACTACCCCGCGGGTCCCACAGGACACCGCCGGGCCCTCA